AGAGGGAGGGCTGACTGCTAAGATCCTCCAAAGACAAGGAGGGGTTTCCCTGAGGAGGGAAACAATGTTCCTGGGAATGGGGTTGGATTTGGGAAGAACTAAAGTGCTGGGGGAGGAGGGGCGGATACTCCCACCTCACCCTTCAGCCTCAGACCCTCCAGAGAAGGAAGTTAGGACTCAGGTCACCAGGACACCAGGGCACTGACTTGGTGAAAGACATCAACCCCCTCCCTCAGCGTCTCAGTTAATGTGGAGGCTATTGGTCTGTGTGGGGGACCAGCATCTGCCCCTTTCAAGATCCCCCAGGGGACAGCAGGGTGCCCCTGGGGCAGGACTAGAGAGGAAGCTGATTTGCATGAGGCCCTTCTCCCCTAATGGGTGAGGGAGGCATGAAAAGGCCCAGGACTCCCCCCTGCAGCCCAGGAGCCTGAGGAGCCGCATCCTGTGAGTGTCCCCACCATGGTCTGGACAGTGCTTCTGCTCCAGCTCCTGGCGCACAGCTCAGGTCAGAGGAAGGGCCTCTGCATCCTTGGGGGACACGGAACAGCAGGGTCTCAGGGTGACCTTTGTCTCTCCTAACACCTGTCTCTCTCCTGTTGGTTTCAGGGGTGGATTCTCAGACTGTGGTGACCCAGGAGCCGTCAGTGTCAGTATCTCCAGGAGGAACAGTCACACTCACCTGTGGCCTCAGCTCTGGGGCCGTCTCTAGTGGTAACTACCCCAGCTGGTACCAGCAGACCCCAGGCAAGCCTCCAGGCATGCTCATCTACCAAACAAACAACCGCCCCTCTGGGGTCCCTGACCGCTTCTCTGGCTCCATCTCTGGGAACAAGGCCGCCCTCACCATCTCGGGGGCCCAGCCTGAGGATGAAGCCGACTATTACTGTGCTCTGTACATGGGTAGTTACGTTTACACGGTGATGTAAACCCACAGGGAAGTGCAACCAAAACCTTCTCATGCGCTCAGACTGGCTCGGCTTTTGATGCAGAAAAAGACTGAGGTTGGAAATGGCCAACACACCATGGGAAGGGGGCTCCCTGGTCCCATTTTGTTTCTAGGATCGTGGTCATGTGCCTCCTCAGTCTCTCCCAGGACGTGTCAATCTCTTCATGAGACTCCAGCAAGAACGGGCTTTCCCTCTTCGTCTCCGCCCATAGTTGCAGGCAAGGGCTCAGCTCCCAACTGGATCAGCCTACAGTGAGAGCCAGAGACCCCACTGTGAGGTGTAAGTCTCCTCTGACTCAAAGAGCATTGACGACACAGCCTCAGTCATGAATTCCACTGTGGAGACAACGTTGATATTCATTTTGGCCTTGAAATGGGGGCATTAGCTCGGGTTGTTAGAAAGGCAATTCATTGATAGATCCACTGAGTCAGGGACTCTGTTCTTGTCCCAGAAACTCTATGCCCATAAGCTTCCAGGAGGAGGTTCAACATGAATGCTGGAGAAGCACCTCTCCTTCCATTGTTACCTTCCTTCCTCCACATCAAATGATAATTTCAAAATGGATTAAAGACTGAAATGTAAGACTCAAAACCATAAACTCCCAAAACAATGTAGGCACGAAAATCTCTGACATTAATCTTAACATTTTCTCTAATGCATCTCCTCAGACATGGAAAGCAAAAGGAAGAATAAACCAAAGGGACTACATCAAAGTAAAGAGCTTTTTGCAAAATGAAGGAAACCACCAACTAAACAAAAAGACAACCTACTGAGTGGAAGCAGATATTCACCAATGATCATCCCATGAAGGGGTCCATGTCCCACATTTATAAAGAGCTCACGCAACTCCACACCAAGAAGAGAAAGCAAACCCACAAAACAATCCAATTAAAACGTGGGCAGAGGACCTGAACAGACTTCTCCAAACAGAACACACAGAGGCCAACAGACAGAGGAAAAGATACTCAACATCACTGACCATCACAGAAATGTAAATTAAACCCACAATGCAATGCCACCTCGCATCCTCACAATGGCTGTCATCAAATCCACAAACAGCAATTGTTGGCAAAGATGTGTAGAAAAGCGAATCCTCATGCACTGTTGGTGGGAATGCAGATGGCGCCGTCACTCTAGAAAGCTGTATGGAGGGGCCTTAAAAAACTACAGGCCAACCTGCCTCATTACCCAGCGATGCCACCTCTGGTATTTATGTGAAGAAACCCAAACGCTGACGTGAAGAACTGCATGCGCCCCGTGCTCCCTGCAGCGTCACTGACAATGGCCACGCTGTGGAAGCACCCAGGTGCCCACAGGGACCTAGAGGGGATGGTGCTGAGTAAAGTAGGTCAGACAGAGAAACACAACACCATAACATTTCACTCAAATGAGGAATGTCAAGGACAAATAAATAAGCAAAGTAAATTGAGTCTGAACAGATAGTTTCCTGAAGGCAGGGGGTCAGGAGACTGAATGAAAAAGTCGGAGGGATAAAGTACTAATTGCTGCTTCCCAAACAGGGACGGGAAAGTGAACGCACAGCACAGGGAAGCCAGACAATAGCCTTGTGACCACCCTGTGAGGTGCCAGGTGGGCCCAGGTAACAGGGACACTTTGTAAAGCACAGGATTGTGCAACCCTATGCTGTGCATGTGACAACAATACAGCATAATATTAAATGTGAACTAGAGTTAAAGAATAAAAACTTTTTGTTGTTGTTTTTTTTTTTTTTTTTTTTAAAGCAGAGGTCCGCTTATGTGGCCTGGGAGACCGAGGTGACCTCACCCAGGCCCTGTGTGTCCCCTGCTCCCTGCCTTGGCCTGGATGTTCATTCTCTGACCCCTGACACCTGAGGAATCTGGGTGTTTCTTCCTGGAAATTACACTGTGAGGAGCGTGTGATCTCCAGGCTCCGGGCCCCTCCCCAGGAAGGACAGGGCTCTCAGAGGAGGCGCACTTCCTCCAGTTTATCCTGAAGCCTCTCCCTCTTTCCTCTCTGCGTTCTGCTGTTGTTGTTGGGATGATTGTGATCAAGGTTAGTTGATTTGGTTCTAAACCTTAGACCCAATTCCCATTCAATCCATGGATATCCTCACACATATACTTAAGGCCAAAAAGATTGGAGAACAGAAAGTGAGGACTTCTACATCCCATGAGGGAGAAGAGAACTCCACAGCGGGGTAGAGTTTCATGCATATTAACACACTTTGTATGTCAAACCTTGTCTGAAAATAATGACAAAACTAGAGAAACACATCTTAAATAGCTCAAGAGCTGAATGGAAGTATTGCCTATATATCGTTCCAGAATAAATGAGAACCTGCAGAAGTCACCAAAGAATAGAAGACACTTGTTCCCCAACATCGTCATATTCTCCTGGCGAAGGCAGAGGGAAAAAGCCAAGACAAGTCCCCTGAGGGCTGGGACTCTGACAGGAGCCCCTCACAACAGCCACAGAGACAACAACAACAACCACATATTTCACCCTAAAGGATCACCAAGGGGAATCAAGACCAGGTAGGAACTGACAGGCTTTCTGGGGAACATTAAGTGTCCATCTTTGCTCCAAATGCTCATGCACCAGAAATTAACCCAGCGGCCAGGCAGACAGAGGGAAAGCCAACAAGCAGGTTCCTTAAGGTCTGGGACCGCAGCGTGTCATTTACTTTAGTGCGGGTCCCGAGGAACCTGAGGAAATAACGGGTGAACCCCAGCATCAGGGGTGGGACCTGCTCATCCTCCTGCCTGGGGAGTGGCCTCAGGGAGATCACAGAGCCCTCCCAGGAGGCCTGGGTGGAGGAAATGGGCTGGAGGACAGGTGCTCTGGGACCAGCAGGGGGCGCTGGTGCACTGGGACTGAGAGCTCAGGGCTCTGGGCCAGGCAGCTGGGAACACACTCTACTGGCCCCTGCACACTTGGGCAGGCAGGTCCTCACTCAAGTGTGACTTCCCTGCACCTGGGCCCAGGAGCCCCAAGAGCCCTCAGCTCTGATACCCACACTTGTCTCCTATCCCACCCCTCCCTCATGAAGTCATTGTCCAGGCCTCATTCACAGGCAGAGAGATGCAATCACACCACAAAAAATATTTTACTTGAAGAAACATGACCTATGAGAAAATTGAATTGACTATGCCAGTTTTAATGCATAGATGATTGGCTAGTGATTCCAAAATAAACACCATAAATCACAGTGTCATTTACCCTCTGATGGACGCCAGTGTGTGTATCACCTTCCCCAACGACTGGAGACATGTCATCCCCTGCTCATCCCCTTACATGTCTCCATCCCTCCCATTCTTCCTGCCCCTCAGGGAAAGGGACTTCTATACTGTTCTTGATTTCACAAGGACTCGCTCACCACAATGCTGATCTCATTTCTGATCATTAGCTACATGCTCCTAATTTGTTATATCAGAGGTTAAACGGTTTCTCATAATATCATGGTGACACTGGGACATTTTCTCCTCAAATCCCTGTTTAATTGGAAGGTAAATCATATAACTGATGGCTTCTTAGGACAAAAGAGAGTGGCCACCCCTTCCTGGCTACCCAAAATGTCTGTGTCTGGACCCCCAACCCTGGTCCCCAGTTCTCTTTTCCTAGTATAGGGACTAACACGGCTGGACAGAGGACTCACTGCTGGAGGGAGGACTGTCTGCTAAGATCCTCCAAAGAAGACAAGGAGGGGTTTCACTGACGAAGGAAGCAGTGTTCCTGAAAATGGGTTCTGTTTGAGAAGAACTAGATTGCTGGGGCCAGGAAGGGGCGGACACTCCCACCTCATCCTTCAGCCTCACACCCTCCGGGGAAGGAAGTGAGGACTCAGGTCACCAGGACTCCAGGGCACTGACTTGGTGACAGAATCAACCCCCTCCCTCAGCATCTCAGTTAATGTGGAGTCTATTGGTCTGTGTGAGGGCCCAGCATCTGCCCCTTTCCAGATCTCCCAGGGGACAACAGGGTGCCCCTGGGGCAGGACTAGAGGGGAAGCTGATTTGCATGAGGCACCTTCTCCCCTAATGGGTGAGGGAGGCATGAAAAGGCCCAGGTCTCCCCACCGCAGCCCAGGAGCCTGAGGAGCCGCATCCTGTGAGTGTCCCCACCATGGTCTGGACGGTGCTTCTGCTCCAGCTCCTGGCGCACAGCTCAGGTCAGAGGAAGGGCCTCTGCATCCTTGGGGGACACGGAACAGCAGGGTCTCAGGGTGACCTTGGTCCCTCATAACACCTGTCTCTCTCCTGTTGGTTTCAGGGGTGGATTCTCAGACTGTGGTGACCCAGGAGCCGTCAATGTCAGTACCTCCAGGAGGGACAGTCACACTCACCTGTGGCCTCAGCTCTGGGGCCGTCTCTAGTGGTAACTACCCCAGCTGGTACCAGCAGACCCCAGGCAAGCCTCCCCGCATGCTCATCTACAACACAAACAACCGCCCCTCTGGGGTCCCTGATCGCTTCTCTGGCTCCATCTCTGGGAACAAAGCCGCCCTCACCATCTCGGGGGCCCAGCCTGAGGACGAGGCTGACTATTACTGTGCTCTGTACCTGGGTAGTGGCATTCACACAGTGATGTAAACCCACAGGGAAGTGCAACCAAAACCTCCTCATGGGCTTAGACTGGCTCAGCCTTTGATGCAGAAAAAGCCTGAATGTCGAAATGGCCACACACCATGGGAAGGGGGCTCCCTGGCTCCATTCTCCTGTCCAGGGATTCATGAGGTCATGTGCCTCCTCAGTTTTTCCCAGGACTGGTCCATCTCGTCATGTAACTCCTGCAAGAATGGGTTTTCCCTCTTCCTCTCTGCCCATAGTTACAGGGACGGCTCAGCTCCCAACTGTATAAACCTACAGTGAGACTCAGAAATATAAGCAATACGTATAAGTCTCCCCTAATTTAAAGAGCAATAACAAGATATCATCATTCATAAATTTGACTGTGGAGACAAAGTTAATGTTTATTTTGGCCTTGAAATGTAGCATTACATGTAGTTGTCAGAAATGCAATTCCCATGCTAGACCCACTGAATTAGAAACGTGTTGTTGTCCCAGAATCTCTCCGTCCACACGCTCTCCAGGAGGAGGTTCCAGATGAATGCTGGAGAAGCTCCTCTCCTTCCATTGTTACCTTCCTTCCTCCACATCAAAGAATAAACTCAAAATGCATGAAAGACTGAAATGTAAGCCTCCAAACCATAAAACTCTGGAAAATATATAGGTTCTAAAATCTCTGACATTAATCTTACCAACATTTTCTCTAATGCATCTCCTCAGACCGGAAAGCAAAAGGAAAAATAAACCAAAGGGACTACATCAAAGGAAAGAGCTTGTTGCACAGCAAAGGAAACCATCAACAAAACAAACGGCAACCTACTGAGTGGAAGTAGATATTCACCAATGATCATCCCATGAAGGGGTCCATGTCCCACATTTATAAAGAGCTCACACAACTCAACACCAAGAAGAGAAAGCAAACCCACAAAACAATCCAATTAAAACATGGGCAGAGGACCTGAACAGACTTCTCCAAACAGAACACACAGAGGCCAACAGACAGAGGAAAAGATACTCAACATCACTGACCATCACAGAAATGTAAATTAAACCCACAATGCAATGCCACCTCGCATCCTCAGAATGGCTGTCATCAAATCCACAAACAACAAGTGCTGACAAAGATGTGAGGAAGAGTGAACCCTCATGCACTGTTGGTGGGAATGCAGATGGTGCCGTGACTCTAGAAATCTGTATGGAGGGGCCTTAAAAAACTACAGGCCAACCTGCCTCATTACCCAGCGATGCCACATCTGGTATTTATGTGAAGAAACCCAAACACTGATGTAAAGAAATGCATGCACCCTGTGCGCCCTGCAGCGTCACTGACAATGGCTGCGCTGTGGAAGCACCCAGGTGCCCACAGGGACCTAGAGGGGATTGTGCTGAGTAAAGTAGGTCAGACAGAGAAACACAAACACCGTAACATTTCACTCAAATGTGGAATGTCACACCCATGACCTCTCCTTCTCCCCTCTTCGTGTTTTGTTCTTGTTGTTGGGATGATACATGATAAATATTAATTGATTTGGACCTAAACCTTATAAATCCAATTCCCATTAAATCCAGGGAGCTCTTAACAAATATACTTGAAAAGACCAGCGAAGATTAGAGAATAGAAAATGTGGACTTTTAAACTGCATAATGGAGAAAAAACTCTAAAAAGGGGTAGAGTTTCATTCATATTAATATTCTTTTTATGTCAACCCTTGTATTGCCAATGTAATATTCAAGAATACATGAGACCCAGCCACCCTGGCTCAGTGGTTGAGCATTGACCTATGAACCAGGAGGTCATGGTTCGATTCCCTGTTACGGCACATGCCTGGGTTTAGGGCTCGATCCCCAGTGTGGGGTGTGCAGGAGGCAGCCAATGAATGCTTTTCTCTCATCATTGATGATTCTCTCTCTCTCTCTCCCTCTCTTTTCCTCTCTGAAATCAATAAAAATATAATTAAATTTTAAAAAATGATAACATACAGAAGTAATCAAAGAACACAAGACACTTTTCCCTGCCATCATTATCATCTCCTGGCAAAGGTAGAGGGAAAGAGCTAGGATGTCCCCTGGGGGCTGGGACTCTAACGGGGTGGGGGGGGAGGGGCCCTCACAACAACCACAGAAACAACAATGACCAAGAATTTCACCAAGTGGAATCACCAAGTGCAATCATGACCAGGTAGGAACTGACGGGCTTTCTGGGGAACTTTAAGCCACAAACTTTGCTCCAAATGCTCATGCACCAGAAATTAACCCAGCGGCCAGGCAGACAGAGGGAAAGCCAACAAGCAGGTTCCTTTAAGGTCTGGGACAGTAGCGTGTCATTTACTTTTGTACAGGTCCTGAGTAACCTGAGGAAATAACGGGTCAACCCCAGCATCAGAGATGGCACCTGCTCATTCTCCTGCCTGGGGAGTGGCCTCAGGAAGATCACAGAGCCCTTGATTGTTGAAAGGAAAAAGGGTTATTACCATTCCTGCTGCAGAGTTCCAAGCACCATGCGTAATTTCTACAGGACGTCACCAGGGGGCGCTGTGGCTCTTCTCAGAGCTGCAAGGCCTGAAGCCAACTCACATGGTTCTAATTGAGTGGGCCCTGCGCCCGTGCCCGTGGCCTGGGTGTGAGGTGACAGCAGGTGCTTCCCCTCAAGGGACAGACTCAGAGCCCACAGCCTCCACAGCCTCCTCCTCACAGTGAAGCTTCAAACGGGGCCCAGGACCCAGAACTGGAGGGTCCTGTGGGCTCACATTTGCATAATGACCAGCAAACACCCCCTGTGCCCAGGAGGCCGGGAGGAGATAAAGGGACACCCGAGACCAGCACCTGCAAGAGACCAAGGCACCTTGGAAAGCCTCCACCATGAGCTGGACTGCCCTCCTCCTCCTCCTCGCTCTCTGCCCAGGTTCAGGGCCATTTCAGAGACCAGCCTGTGGAGGGGCCCCTCGGCTTCTGTTCCTTATCCCTGACATGTGTCTGCTTCTATTTCAGGGTCCAGGTCTCAGGCTGTGGTGACTCAGGAGCCCTCAGCGACCGTGTCCCCCGGAGGGACAGTCACTCTCACCTGTGGCTCCAGCACAGGGGCTGTCACTGATGGTCTCTACCCGTACTGGATCCAGCAGAAGCCTGGCCAGATCCCCAGGACACTCATTTATAACACAAACAAGAAATACTCCTGGACGCCGGCCCGGTTCTCAGGCTCCATCCAAGGGGGCAAAGCTGCCCTGACCCTCTCAGGGGCGCAGCCTGAGGACGAGGCCGAGTACTACTGCTGGTTACACTTCAGTGGTGCTCACCACAGTGAGTGACCCTGATGGGGAACCAGGACATAAACCTGAGCTTGGCTGAGTGTGGGTACAAACATGGTCCTGTGATACTGGCATCACGTAACAGACATCTGAGCTCTCAGGGGAGCTTAAACATTGACCATCCGTAGAGAGAAGGTGAGGGGAAGGGTCTGAATTGATTCCATTCCTGTTTTAACCCTAAAGTGGAGGGAAAAGAGATGAGCAACTAAGGTACAAAAAGCAGAATTCATTTATTTTATTTTATAGAAGAAACAATATCTGCTGGATCAGAACTAAGGACTAAGGTCAAACACATTTCTTCCAGATAAAAGCATCTCCAATGTTCATTGCCAGCTACGAGCAAAGGAAAGAAACCCTCCTCTCATATGTTTCTGAAGTTGTTTTATTGTAATATAATGCACTTAATAACTATATTGCATATATTTAAAATATATTGAAAAGTATACATCCGTAGCCAGTTTGGCTCAGTGGATAGTCGGCCTGTGGACCAAAGAGTCCAGGTTTGATTAGGTCAAGGGCACGTACCTGGGTTGCAGGCTCCTCCCCGGCCTGGACCCTGGTCGGGGCGTATGCAGGAGTCAACCAATCAATGTGTTTCTCTCACATCAAAAGTTCTCTCGGTCTTTCTCTCTCTCTTCCACTCTCTCTGAAAATCAATGGAAAAATATCCTTGGGTGAATGTAAAATAAAATAAAGTAAATAAAATAAAATAAAATAAAATAAAATAAAATAAAATGTATAAACATTTTTAAATGATTCTTCTTCCCTAATGTTCTTGGTTAAATTGTGTCTCCCACCCCCAAAAAGATATGTTAAAGTTATACTCCTCAGGACCTAAGAATGTCACCTTATTTGGAAACAGGGTCAGGGGGAAAAAAGATAAGAACACAGGGTCGATGCCGATGTAATTAGTGAAGATGAGGCCATGCTGGAGTGGGGTGGCCTCCTAATGCCATGTGGCTGGAGTCCTGATAGCAAGAAGCCCCATGAAGACACGGGGAGCACTTTGAGGAGATGGAGGCGGAGACTGGGTGACGCAGCTGCAAGCCAAGGAAGGCCCAAATTGCTGGTGTGGCTCAGTGGTTGAACCTCGACCTATGAACCAGGAGGTCATGGTTCAATTCCTGGTCAAGGCACATGCCTGGGTTTCAGGCTCAATCCCTAATGTGGGGCGTGCAGGAGGCAGCCGATCAATGATTCTCTCTCATCATTGATATTTCTGTCTCTCTCTCTCCCTATCATTTCCTCTCTGAAACAAATATATATATATTTAAATAAAAGTTTGGTAGAATTCAGAAATAAAATAAGCTTAGCATGAAGTTTTCATTTCTGGACGGCATTTTACCTACCAACTAAGTTTCCTTAATAACCATAGGACTATTATTTGGGTTATCAATTGTAAGTGAGTTTTGATCATCTTAATATTTACCGTGGTTGTGTAAGTTGTTAACATCAGGGGAGATTTGGTGAAGGATATGTGTACTATCTTTGCAACATTTCTGTGCATCTAAAATCACTCCAAAATAAAAAGCTGAAGTAAGCCCATCTCATTTCCTTCTCCCGAATTTACTCACTAACACCTGTTGAACTAGATCCCAGGTCTGGCTGTAAAACCTTCCACATTCAATCTTGGAGCGTTTGTATTTTCCAGGTAGTCATCTCTAAATAAAAATATAAAAAATAATGCTCACCTTATGCCTACTTTTCATGGGTACAATGAACCTCCGCTGAAGCTTGACATTTAAAATACAGACCTTCAGATGGAAACCAGGCAAAGGAAGAGGCCCGCGAGGAGGGCCCGAAAGAATTCCAAGTGCCAGCGTCCCCCGTCTCCGCCCAGTGGGGTAGGTCACGGACAATGCGAACGCCTCCTGGCATCCAGGTGCCACACTCTGCACGGAGTACTGCCCACCAGGAGAGTTCACCCAAGCTCGGCGCCCAGAGGTTTTCTGGGGGGACTTGGTCGTGTTGACCATTCACACAGATGACTTTAGTCTCCACCCGTTTGGCCGTAAAACATTTAACCCTCTGTCTTTGGTCTTTTTCTTTTAATTCTCTAAAGCAGTCTTCGGCAAACTGCGGCTCGCGAGCCACATGCGGCTCTTTGGCCCCTTGAGTGTGGCTCTTCCACAAAATACCGACTTCTGCGCATGGGCCACGAAGTTTCAATCGCACTGTACGTGCGCGCCCGCCCGCACATGGTATTTTGTGGAAGAGCCACACTCAAGGGGTCAAAGAGCCGCATGTGGCTCGCGAGCCGCAGTTTGCCGACCACTGCTCTAAAGTAAATAATTCTGACTAAAACCAGCTGTCTATTCCATGTAAGGCTCAAAATAAATAATGTCAACAGCGTCAGTTGGCCATGAAATCATTCCTTGAGTCATGCAAAACACTCCGATAAGACATGAAGGCCTTGTAACACTGACACTGACCCTGGGGTAGGATTTCAACAACAACCGGAGGAAGATGTACGAACAGGAATGAGCCAAGAGGAGACAAGCAATGGATGCAGGATGGCCTGGGAAACAACAGCTGCGATGCTAACAAGTAAGTCAGCAGTTAATTTCATAACTGAGAGGACACCACACACTCTCAGCCCAAGAAGGCCGCCAGGGGGCACTATGGATCTTCTCAGCGGCCTTGAACTTCAAGTGGCTCCAATTCAATGGACGATGAAGGGTTGCTCCCTGGCCTGTATAACAGCTTAGAGCAGCTGTTTCCTCCCACAGGGTAGACGCACAACCTCCACCCACCCCTGGCTTACCCGCTGGCTGTGTAGCTGCTCCCAGGGCTGAGGACCTGGGTGGTGGACGTCAGTGGTGGCAGGCTCAGATTTGCATAAGGCGAGCCTCCAACACACCCCTTCACACAGCAGCTCAGTAGGAGATAAAGAGTCAGCAGAGAGGCCAGCCCCAGCTCAGAGCCAGGGGGCCCTTCTAACGTCTGCACCATGGCCTGCACCCCTCTCCTCCTCCTCCTCTTCCTCACTCACTGCCTAGGTGAATACAGACCCCCATACCAGCCACTGGAGGGGTCCCTCTGCCTTTGTTCCTTATCCCTGACAGGTGTCTGCTTTTGGTTTCAGAGTCCAGGTCTCAGGCTGTGGTCACCCAGGAGCCCTCAGCGACCGTGTCCTCGGGAGGGACAGTCACTCTCACCTGTGGCTCCAGCACAGGGGCTGTCACCGATGGTCACTATCCGTACTGGTTCCAGCAGAAGCCTGACCAGGCTCCCAGGACACTGATTTATAACACGAACAACAGACACTCCTGGACGCCAGCCCGGTTCTCAGGCTCCATCCGAGGGGGCAAAGCTGCCCTGACCCTCGCAGGGGCCCAGCCTGAGGATGAGGCCGTGTACCACTGCTGGCTGGTGTACAGTGGTGCTCGGCACAGCGAGAGATGTAGATGGGGAACCAGGACATAAACCTCTGCTGGGGCCTGTGACAGGGGATCACGTGATCAGACACACCAGCTCTCAAGTAGCCTAAATGTGGATCGTCCATTGACAAGTAAAGGGAAGGGTACCCAGCTGGCATGGCTCAGTGGTTGAGCATTGACCTAGGAGCCAGGAGGTCAGAGTTTGAGTCCCGGTCAGGGCACATGCCTGGGTTGTGGGCTCGATCCCCAGTGTGGGGTGTGCAGGAGGCAGCCGATGAATGATTCTCTCTCATCACTGATATTTCTATTTCTTTCCCCTTCTCCCATCCTCTCTGAAATAAATAAATAAATAAATAAATAAATAAATAAATATTTTTAAAAGAAATGATGCTATATAATAAATCTTGCTTTTATTTCTTTTTAATTTTTAAAGTCCTCACCCAATGAGTGAGAAAATTTTTTCCATTGATTTTTAGAGAGAGCAGAAAGGATGGGGGAGGGAGGGAGAGAGAGAGAGAGAGAGAGAGAGACATCGATGTGTCAGAGACATCAATTGGTTGCCTCCTATCTGCGCCCCAATCGGGGGTGGAGGATTGAACCTGCAACCAAGGTACAAGCCCTTGACTGGGAATCGAACCCAAGACCCGTTGGTCCATGGGCCAGTGCTCTAACCACTGAGAAAAACTGGCCAGGCCTAATTAATCTTGTTTTTAATGAAATACTCCTGTTCCATGGTGTGGCTTTTGTGAAGTCAGGGGGAGATGCCTGCTGTTTTCATTAGGAAGCTTCTGTTTACATGTGGGCTAGTGTGACCCCTACTTAGGGCCTAGGACTCAACTCAGGACAGCTGCCTAAAGAATGCAGCCTCGCCCTCCCAAAGTTGTCCTTCAAAGGGCGCCCTTGTCAAATGAAGTTCACGATCCCAGCGGCAGCCTGCCCTGAAGAGAGAGTCTGTACTGAGCCAGGTCAGAACAGGGACCGAGTCCAGCTGGGTCCCACTCAGGGGACACCACAGATGCGGAGGTCTGTGCGTCCTTACGTTTTCCTGAACATGCGCTCTGTGCCAGGCTCGGGTTAGAGCTCAGAGCACAGCACTGACCACACAGACGGGGTCCCATCCTCCCGGGGCTGACCCTACAGGGACGTGAGGGACAACCGGCCATGAGAAGAAGGCGTATGGTGGGTGTGACAAGAGGTGACACTGACAAGAAAGGGGTGGACACCAGGAAGCCCTCAGAGGTTTGTAAGCAAGGAGGAGATAGAATCTGAGTTCCGCTTCTCCAAAAGATGAAATGGGAGGAGCAGAGGAAAGGCACAGCCACAGAGAGAACTAAAAACTCCGGACCAGAGCGAAGAGGGCTTGCAAACAGGAACCACCCCGCAGGAGCGCATCTGCCTTTTGGTGATATTCTCACTGTGGACACTAGAGGGGGCTGTGGGCCAGCGCCTGGGAGGCAAGCTCAGCTGTGAAATGGTCCTGTATGCCCGAGTCCAACTGTCACTGATGTGGAGCAGCCCAGGGGCTGCCAGAAGGGGCCACACTGCTCAGCGCCCCGGGAGGGGAGCTTATTTGCATGAAATGCCCACCCCCGAGGGTGGAAGGAGCTAAAATGAGAGCAG